GGGCCGGGCTGGGGGCGGCCTGATTTCCCGACTGGAAACCTCCCCTCGTGAAATCAGAGGAAATTCAGGTGGCAGGGACCCCGGGGGGTCGCATTTCGTCCAACCCCTGCTGCCAGCTACATCATCCCAGCCACAATTTTGGCTGCAGGGGGTTTCGTCAGGGCGCCCGAATCCTTCCTGGTCTGGTTGACTTGGTCCCGGGACTCGGTCGGGCCATGGCCCGTGCTTAAATTCAGGATGACCGCGCACCAGTAGTTTCCCCGCGTTCCCTCCCCGCCAGCATGAGGCCTCCGGAGACCATCCCCAGACCTCATGCTTCGGGACGCAGGGGCGCGCCTTGCACCTGGAGATTGAGCCGTGCCCCGTATCGGTGCGAGTATAACGCTGCGCGGTTGGCTTATAAAAATGACGTTTCCTGGGGGTAGTTAGTCTCCGAACTGCCGTTATGGAGTAGGTCGGGTGCATGCAAGACGGGTGAGGCTGCGAGGACGGTGGTACGTTTGACGCTGAGTTTCCCAAAATTTCAGGAAAAGGTTGCCCTGCAAAAAAAAATAATAATAATAATTAAAAAAAAAAAATTGTCCTCTGCCGTCCCTTTCCCCCCTTTAAAACTAGAAGCCCTTCAAGGAATTGCTTGAAAAGGAAACTGACTTCTTTAGAAACTCAGGAAAACGTAGCTTAAGTGAGGAAGATTAAGTCTTGTTACCTCCCTCGTAAAATTACTGCCAGGTTCTGCCATTTAATTTTGGAAACGGAGAATGAGTGCATGTTCCCTCTCTGTGCCAGTCTCCCCTGCTAATAGATGCAGTAGCTATAGGAGTGCCAGGAGTGTGGAATTTATTCCAAGTGCTCATTCTGACACTGAGGATGAGGATAAAGCAATGGTAGAAGGAGAGGAGGAAAAGGCAGAGCATCATGCTAAAGAGAAGGGGAACAGGGGAACTAAGGGAAAGCCACACCATAAAAAACTGGGATTGTCTAAAAAGTTTGTGAAAGATCTGCGACCTGCTGCTGCCCCTGAGCAAAATGGAGAGAGCTTCTTCATGGAGAGCAATACTGCGAAGCGCGTTCTGTTGCCCGGGACGAGAGCAAAGACTTCCATTGTGTGGAACTTCTTCCACATCGATCCCCAGTACACGTGGCGCGCCATCTGCAGCATCTGCAAAAAGAGCGTCAGCCGTGGCAAGCCGGGCACCCACCTCGGCACGTCGACACTTCAGCGACATCTCCAAGCCAAGCACTCTGTGCACTGGACGGTGGCTACCAAAATAAATGCTGCTGGGGGAAGCAGTGTAGGGGAGGATGAATATGCCTTTAACATGCCTGTCTCGCCCGTCTCCCCTGATAGCAGAGGCAGCAGTTTGAGCAGCAGTGGGAGCTCGGACTATGTTCCAAGCATTAATTTTGATGGTGATGGGGTGGAAGAGGCAGAGAGTCAGTTTTTCCACAAAAAAAGAAGAAAGAGAGCTGTGCAGGTGAATGAGTTCCACCCAGGAAAGCGAGAGCTGGCCAGAAAATTTGCCAAAGACATTATTCCCACGGGTGCAACCAGTGCAGCACCAGCAATAGTCATTTCTGGGGAAGATCGAGAGCCTTTTCTAATTGAAAGCAATACTGTCAAACGTGTCCTAGTGCCAGGAACCAGGACTAAGACATCTGCCGTGTGGAACTTCTTCTACATTGACCCTCAGTACACTTGGCGGGCTGTCTGTACCGTCTGTAAAAAGAGTGTCAGTCGCGGCAGACCGGGGACTCACCTTGGCACCTCCACACTCCAGCGACACTTGCAGGCCATGCATCCTGTGCACTGGGCCATGGCCAACAAATCTAATGGTGCTCTTTGTAATGGTGTCGGGGAGGAAGCAGCAGAGGATTTTCCTCCCAGTCCAGCTGAGGTGGACGTGTTTTTGGCCCGTAGGAATGACTTATCACGCTATTTCTCTTCGAGAGAGAAACTGTCGGCCGGTTACAGTTTAACACCTCGAGGTTTGGGTGTCCCTGCCCCAGCTTTTTCTCCCAAGTCAGTGCTTAGTAAAAGAAAAGCCTTAAGTCCCAACTTTGGGACTAACCAAGACTCTCAAATACCTACTACTGTGAGGAAGATCAGATACCGTGAAAATCCAGTTGCACAGCAGATCAACAGGGCTATCACGGAATTGATTATTGAGGATATGCAGCCTTACTCCTTTTTTTCCACACCCGCTTTTCAGAGGTTCATGCAGATTGTGGCCCCCGACTATCAGCTGCCATCAAGAACTTACTTCTCTACAAAGGCTGTGCCACGGTTACACAGTGTTGTGAGAGAGAAGGTTTCCTTGGCTCTGGAGAAAGCAGAATTACACAAAGTACACTTGTCCATTGACATGTGGACCTGTGAACCAGCCTTGGACTACCTGACAGTGATGGCCCATTGGGTATCTTATGAAGTGTCATCTTCTGACAACACCAGCAGAACTCCCAATTTTAGGAAGCAAGCAGCCCTTTGTGTAACTGGCTTTGCCAAAGATTATACAGCAGCCAGTATCTTGCAAGAACTGAATTACCAGATTGGTGTGTGGCTCTCCCCCAGTTCCCTCACCCCAGGCTTTGTAGTTTCTGATAGCACTGCCAATGTGGTACATGCAGTGAAAGATGGAGGCTTTACCCACGTGCCATGTTTCATGCATTGTTTAAATGTAATCATTCAGGACTTTCTCTGTGAGCACAAAAGCACTGAGAGCATGCTGGCAGCTGCACGAGAGATTTGCCTTCACTTTAATCGTTCTGCTAAAACCCGTCAGGTTTTGCAGAAGTTTCAGCACATGACCTATCTTCTGCAGCACAGCTTAAAGCAGGAGGTAGCCACTCGGTGGATCTCTACTTTTTATATGCTGAAGCGACTTCTAGAGCAGCGGAAAGCAGTGCATGACTATTCGGTCCAACATCGCCTCGGGGGGAGAGCAGGTGGGGTCATCCTCACTTCCCTCCAGTGGTCTCTGATGGCACACGTGTGTGACATCCTGGAGCCCTTTGTGGAAGCCACTCGGGAGATGAGCGCATGCACTGCGGGGCTTAGTCAGGCACTACCGTTAGTCCGCCGCCTGCTCCTTACTTTGCAGAACATGCGGAAAGATTTTCAAATCAAAGGGGCTACCCTTGCTCTTGGCCTGGTGGATGACTTGTCTCTGAGGATAGAAACTGATTCCCGTCTGTGTGCTGTGCTCAGGTCTGAGCACTATATCTTGGCCACTTTGTTAGATCCCTTCTTTAAAGACAGTTTAGAAGAATTCCTTCCCCGAGGCAGTGACTTAGCAAGCTATAAGCAAATCCTAATTGAAGCAGTGTCCGAGCATATGTGCCTGTCAATGGAGAGTTGCCCCATGGAGAATAGAAAAGCATCAGGCCAATCAGCCCTTACAGGGACTGAACCTTTTGCCCGTCATTTTAAGAAAGATCCTGCAGGTTCAGGTCCCTTGAATGGCTCATCTTCTTCAAAGATCATTGCTTTAACTGGCAAGGGGCTGTTGTGCCCATCTGCTGCAACCATAGTAGAAGAGTACTTCCATGAGAAGCCCTCAAGGATCTCAGTAAAAGATGACCCCTTGACTTACTGGCAGGGGAAGCTGAGAAGGTGGCCTGCGTTAACACAAGTAGCCATTCAGTATCTTGGCTGCCCACCCTGTAGTCTGCATTCGGAATGGCTCTTCAGCTCAACGCGCCACCTGGCCTCAGAACGTAGGGCTAGTTCAGGCATTGACAATATTGAACAGCTGATGTTCCTCAAAATCAACTTAAAAAGTATAAATTATGACTATTCTACTCTGGCCTTGGGCTTTGACACAGAGGACGAGGTCACTCAGAGCAGTGAGGATGAGATGTTTTAAGCCAGACATGCTCTCTGAACCGTATGAAGTCCAAAACGTGTGCTGTGATGAACTATTTTTTATACATTTTATGGTCCTTTCAGTCTTCAGAGTGCTTTACAGATGCATTCGTAGGCAAACCTGCAGTGTACCCATTTTGCAGATACAAAAAGTGACAGATGTGACTTGATGTAAAAGATGAGATTAGATTTTAGAAATTCCTGGCTTCTGAGTCTTAAATACAGACTCATTTAACATGGGTCAAATAAACACACGTAGAGGCTATAATGTAAGTATTTATGAAATGAACGTTAAAAAGATAACCAAGCACACACATAAGTAGGCCAATTATAAAGAGACCATAAAGTGGAGTCAGGCTTCATGCTTGGGAAGCAATGAAGTCAGAATCTAATTTAAAAATATGGTGCTGGTAGTAGCAGTTGAATAATGCTCCCTTTGGATACTTGCTGGGCTGAAAAATGTTGTTTTCCCTCTGAGCTTCCCTCCTATAAACTCAGGATAGGACTAGTGCGGCCGGCAGACTGGAAAGCTAGATGTAGGCATAGCATAGACTTTCAGTATCAAAAAGACGGGGCTGTTAGACTGGACAGATTTTCACCATTGTATTTATCTTCCTTTTGCAAGGGTCAGGTGTGGGGGTTTGTGTGTGACTAAGTTCTGTTTTCATAGACTTCTAGTTATGGCCCCTTTCGTGTAAGTATGATGCTGTGCTAAATTGCATGACCATGGGAAGCACAGCTCAATCTGTACGTGAGCGCCAGTAGAATCCTAGAAATTTTGTATTGACTTTGGAATGCTTATCAGTTTCCGATACAAACATGCTAAATGCACCAGACTTATGAATATTACACTTCCTTCAAGGATTTAGGTCAAGTGACATCTTTCTGTTATGATTAAATTGCTATTTTGACTGATTTAAAACATAATTTAATTTAGAATAATAGTTTGGGTGTTCATTAAATTACTTGTAGAACTGAGAGGCCCAAGTGTTTTGTCCTTTCTTAACCTGTAGATTAGTATATTTTAAATGAGACCCATTCAAGTTCTGAACTGTGCTCCAAGTGTTAAGCATATGCAGTAATGTGGAAGGCAACACACAAATTGGATGAAAGCAGACTTAAAAATACCGATTAGCTGAGTGGCCTGTGTGCTCAAATGAACCCAAACTATATGGGGTAAATTTTCCCACTGCAATGAATACAGTAATTTGGACTCAATATGTAAATTTATTTTTCCCTGAAGAAGAGAAATGTCATTCATCAGATTTTTCTGATTACTTCTATTTGAATACTTCTGTTTTATTCTTTTTTAGGGACGCTCAAATGTCCTGTACTTGCCAAGAAATAGGTATTGGTTTATTGTGTGACACAATAAATTGAAGTGATTGCACTTTGAAATTTCATAGAATCAGTGTGGATATGGTTTAAAAATGTATTTGTTAAAGGCTTCCGTAGAATTGCATGTGACGGAGCACAGGTATTTTTAGGTGCGGGTAGATGGACATTATCTGGGGGACAGAATCCAGTTATCAAGTCAACAAGATCACAAGTGAAATAATTGTATATATATAAAAGGAGCTGGGGGGAGCTTGTATCTTATTTTGCTTTCTAATCCCCCTTGTCAAGAAATTTGAAACTGCTAACTAATATAAGAACCCAACTTTTCCTTTTTTTATTTTAGATTTGGGAAAATTCCCTGCCAAAAAAAAAATTCCTGGAAAATTCACTAGTGTTTGTGTGAGTAAAAGGTTCCAACCTTTTATTATTAATTTGTAAGTGATATTTCATTCAGTTTTGTCCAAGAGAGTCAGAAGAGAATTAGTGTAGAAATGTGCAACATATTTAATGACATGGAAATCAGAATCACTTTCAGTCGAGCGCTTCCTGGTCTGGTTGCAGGTTTTATGACATTCAGGGTTTTGGTTTTTGGTGTGGGGGGGGTTCTTTGTTTGGTTTTTGGTTTTTTTTTAATTGGAACATTCAATTCCCAGTGAATTGAAACTGCTTGTGGCTAAATGGAATCAATCCCAGGCTCCTTATGGTGTCAGAGTCATTGGCTGCTAAGAATGGGACCAAAGCCATCCTGTCTAGTTTTTTTGCCAATCTCACAGCAGTGGATAATGGTGGCTTATATATGCACCAGGGGAACAGTATGTGGTGACAAACCTGAAGTGTTTGTTCTGATGTAAAAGAAAAGAAATTAGCTTCCAAGTATCAAAAGAAAAATATTCCAAATTCTCTGTCTCATGCAGCCATGCCACTTCCAAAGTGAGCATTTCCCTGCCTCTTTCAGCTTGCTATATGCTAAATCTGCTATCTTTCTGCACTGAATTGATTGCAACTGTGTATGTCTGATCAGGGCTAAAAATTATTCTCTACAATATGGATATCGTAGTACACATACTGTGCACGCTTTGTGTGTATAATTATGTATATACTGCATGCATGTACATATGTATGCGTATTTGTGTGCCAGACCCAAACTCACCCATGTTTATAAAGCATTGGCCTGAAGATATATTTGTCAGAAATATTTTTAACCCCTCAATTTATGCCAATTTCCCCAAATTGAAACATTTCATGCATTTTAAGCAACAACTAGCCAAAAAGGCATGATTTTTATTACCCCACTTGCATATATTGGTGTGTGTGTATAAACACGTTTGCATATATGTATATGTATATACATATACGTATGTTTATACACACAAGTTTGTTTTTGCTATACAGCTAATAAAGATGGGGGAAGGTTTGTGTTTTTTCTTAATAGGTGAAGAAATCTTTGAAGACCAGAAATTGGAACTTAATGAATTTTTAAATTAAAAAAAAAAAAATAAATTATCCGGCTGTGGAAGATGGAGCTTCATTTTTGCAGCCACTTGTGATTCAAAGTTCCGCTTTAAATGAACTGGGTTTTTTTTGAAGAGCTAACTAACCCTGGCTGTCTCCAGTCTGACAGAGTATTCGAATGGACTTGCTTCCTCCAGTAGTTGTAAGATATTTAAAAGTTCAGCCTATTTCTGAATTGTGGATGAGAGGTTTCCTTGGCAATGTGAGGAGGAAAATTTTTCTACCCCTTTATTATTAATTCACGGATTGAGTGTTGGTTCGGCCTACAGGAGAAATTAACTGGAAGTCTTTGAAGATTGACGACCTTGCCGACTTATCCAGGTATGTAAATAAATTGATTTGTCACCTCCTGTGGTTGAGGGGAGGAGGAGCCATGATACTCTGTAACTCAAAGCTGCATTTTATGCCGGTAGTTAAGGATTTAACAGTGATTCCCAGGCATGCTGTATTCCTTAAGGGTGAGGTCCCAATCCTGCTGTTGCTGTATTAGGGAGAGGAGAGGAGAAGAAAAATAAAAGCATGACAAAAGAAGGTTCATGCTATTCAAGAGGATTCTTCATTGGGGGTGGTAGGGCCTTGCAACTGGTCAGTTTCAAGGCATTTGAATTAACACGGTCCCATTACCTAAATGGTAATGGAATAGGAATATAGTCCCTTAGTTATCTTAATTGTCTACAATCAATTTCTCCAAGGTTACTTTTTAAAGAGGATTTCTCTAATCAAGCCTGTAGAAGATTGTTTCAGCCCAAGAAAGGGTGAAGCCCGCTCTCGACACGAGAGGAAGAAGGCTGTGTGGAACAATCACCCCTAACTCTTCGGAGGATCGCCAGGCTTGTCCCTGAGGGTCTGTCCAGCATGTCCAACCAAGGAGATGACTGCTACTTCTATTTCTATTCCACCTGCACCAAGGTGCGTTTTCATAAATGCATTTAAAAACAGATGAGTAAATCTTTTTCTGGCCATTTACTGTCTTGTGGCCAGATTTGAAAGCAGATCTGTCCTGATTTGTCAGAGCTGTTTTCTTCTTCTGTGTCCCCATCTTCTCTTGTATATTTGGCCATCTGTTGCAGCAAGGAATACATCAAAAGACAATAGTGATGCAAGACCCTTTTTTTTTTTAGAAGTGTGATTAATTTTTGCCTTTCATGTTTCTTTTCAAGTGATTATACAAATAAATGCATTTCAGTTCATCACGTGCTACTCCTTACAAATACCCTCTAATGTGGGCATTAACCATGAGTAAACGGAGGTTTGAAATTGAACCAACGGGTTCCAAACTATGGAGGGTTTCAATAGTGATGGACTGAAACTCGGGAGTTCCTAGCTCCTTTAATGGCCTAGACCAGGGGGGCCAGTCTGCAACGTGTCTGCCACTAGTGGCATGGGCAGGGAGCAGAAAGCAGAGCAACAAATTGAGCCGGGGAAGCAGATTGGAGTGGCAATTAGGGAGAGTATGGGCATTAATTTGTAGCATGCCTGCCAATGAGGTTGGTCCCTCCACGTCTAGACCATGGTTTTCCTTTGTCGATCTAGCTGTTTCTCATTGTTGCTGCCCAGTAAACTGGCTGATTAATTCCTATATCAGATGGGATCTGTTCATTGTATTGTTCCATAAGTAGGCTAATAAGATCTAGAAAGTGGCAGTGACTGGGACTTTGGTGGGTGCAGGAATATCTTGTGCCCTCTTCTGTGGCAGCAAGAAAATAGAAGAGTTTAACAGGAGAAGCCAGCTAGCCTTGTCGTCTCTTGCTGAGTCCTAAACAAGGCATCTTTCTGGTTTAACAGTATAGCATTTTAACTTAGTGTATCTTCAACTCTTTGTTCCAGATAACTTTCTTAGGTATAACGTAGTTTTGTCTGAGTTTACTTACCCAGGCTGTTGAATTCTTATGGTGTCTAAATCTTAAATATCTTGTTGTAACAAATATTTCTCAACTTAAAATAAATGCTAACACTTGAAAAAAGCATAAGAGATGGTTGGCTATTAACTACAAGCACAACAGAAGGCTATAGAAAAATGGCTGGGAGAGACTGTGGGGAATAGGGGTGTGGTGTTAGGGTTAAAATACGCGGGGGGTGGTTTCTAGAACAGTTCTTGATTTCTCATGTTATAGATGGAAGAAAAGAGCTTGTAGCATCTTACCTATTTCTAATTGTTGGACTTCAAGCCAATGGTTTAAAATAATGCTGGAAAGCTGCAAATGTTTTCAGAGTTCATTATTTCTGCCTACTCCCTGAGACTTCATTTTTTGTTCTGTGCTCCATTTCTTCTTCGCTCCTGACTTTCCATGATTCCCACTCCTCCCCCACACTGAGACTGCTTTAGTGACTAACGCCATTCCTTTCAGCCCCACTATAACAGCTGTCCCTTTGTACACAAGTCTGTTCAGATGAGAGCAGCTCATTTCCCTTTCCTCCATTGGTTGCAGGGGGACAGCTGTCCCTTCCGTCACTGTGAAGCTGCGTTGGGGAACGAGACCGTCTGCACGCTCTGGCAAGAAGGGCGCTGCTTCAGGAACATCTGCAGGTTTCGACACATGGAGATTGATGTAAGTGCGGGCTTTGCAAATACATCTTCAGGCAGTGCTTTCACCATGTGAGGCTCAGGAAACCTTTTAAAGTTTAACCTGTATTCCTGAGGTTAATTGTGCTGTGATGGTCTTGTTCAGCAAGAGGGTCTGTGATGTACCAGTGTTGAGGAGTGGAAGAATGATTACGGTAATTCAAGAGAGTCCGACCGGTGTCAGCAGCAAGCAGGTCACTCTGGCAGCTCCTGACTTGTTCCGAATTGGAGCAGTTGAATCTTTCCTTGTTGCTGTAAATAGACTGAGTTCACTTTTGCATGTCAGTTCCCCCTGCCTTTGCCTGTTAAGAATAATGAAATGAAATTAAGGAAAACTGGCTGTTAGAAAAAAACTCCTTGCTGGGAGATCTACTCAACGTTGGAATAATCTTCTCAACAGAAATAGCAGCAGCCCCGCTGGTTAGTTACTTAAAATTGCTTTGGGCACAGTACTAGGGAATAAATCTGTACTGGCCCCTTGAATAGATGAGATGTAACTTTATGGGTCTCTCATCTCTGACTTTTCTGGAAATGCCTTCTTTTGTCGGAAACTATATATTAATCAAGAGCATGGAGAAAGGAAGGAGAAGGCATTTAATCTGTGGGATGGTAGAAGGCTACAAAGGAATTATTAATCCACAAAGAAACTATTAATCCACTGTTGATGCAAAGATTGTATATATATCTAGGCAGTGTATTGAGCAATTTTCTTAGTGATGTATTTGATTTGTACTGTACTGTGACAGTGTTGCACGGTGATGGTTCTATGCCATTTCTTGAATACTGTCAAGTAGATGGTTTTGCAGCTCTTTTTTTAAGAGAACTTTATTCCAAGGTGACTGCTTTTTTTTCCCCCCCCTCTATCTTAGAAGAAACGCAGTGAGATTCCTTGTT